GTGGCTGTAAGGATTCACTGAGGTAATATGTGTAAAGGGCCTGGCGTTTAGAAGGGGCCAACAGATTACCAACTGTGTGATTTGGGGCAAGTACTTTAAAAAAAAAAAAAAAACCACTCTAACCCTCAATTTTCCTAACTGTAACTATCCCTCAGGGTTGTTGTATTAAAGGAGTTAATCCATGTAAGATTCCTAGCCGTGTACACAGTCCATAGTAAGAATTAAAGACTTATTGGGTAGGCCGGGCGCGGTGCCTCACGCTTGTAATCCTAGCACTCTGGGAGGCCTAGGTGGGAGGACCTCTCGAGGTCAGGAGTTCGGGACCAACCTGAGCAAGAGCGAGACCCAGTCTCTACTAAAACTAGAAAAATTAGCCGGGCATGGTGGCGCATGCCTGTAGTCCCAGCTACTTGGGAGGCTGAGGCAGTAGGATTGCTTGAGCCCAGGAGTTTGAGGTTGCTGTGAGCGAGTGTGACGCCACGGCACTCTAGCCCGGGCAACACAGTGAGACTCTGTCTCAAAAAAAAAATACTTACCGGGTATTCTGACTCTTACGGTTCTAGTTATCCTGTCGCCTACTTTCCTTTGGACACGGAAAGCGCCCTCTCCCACCCCAGTGGATGTCACCGCTTCTTACCCGGCACTCTCACTGTGCCTGCGCGGCCATCTAGTGGGCACACAGTTTTGTCTCCTTTCCTCCCAGTCCCCTGTGTAAAATGATGGCCTGACTTCACTGTTCTGACTAGTCAGGGGCCTGGCGTGGGTTCCTGTTTCTTTGGTTTACCGTCAGCTGGCAAGGCTTGTAGCAACCTCCAGGCAAATGCACAAACCCCAGTACAAAAGCCTGGTTAAGTCTTAGTTTTCTCCTTCATAAGTGGGGATGATAGTTGTGCCCATCTCTAGGATCATCATGACTACAGCACCATGCGAGGCGATGAGTGTAACATGAGTAGCAAGTGCCCGGCAAAGAGTGAGCGTTGTAGCTACCACTTACTCACCCTTTGCTGGGTGTCTGTACCTGCGTTTGTGCACTTAGGTGGAGGTTGTTGCAAGCCTTGCTGACTGGAGGTAAACCAAAACCACGGAAACCAAAACCAGATTCCTGACAGGTCAAAACACTGAACTCAGGTCACCTAACAACCTTGTTTGGAAGGAAGATTGGCCACCATTTTAAAATAGGGAACTGGGGAGGAACGGAGACAACGTATCTACCCACTAGACAGCCACATGGATACGGTTGCCAGGAGGGGGTGAAAGGCGGCGGTTGGCAACACCGTGGGGTAGGGCATGGTGCTTTCTGTGTCCAGAGGCAGAGGAGAATAGGCAACTATTTTAATGAGCATGTGCTGTGTGGGATGGAGGTGTGATATAATAAAGAACCACAGAGGTTGCAGTGAAAGGGTTAAGAGCAGAGAGCTGACCTTGACACCGAGGGGATAGGCCTGTGAGTAGAGCCAGCATGTGGCAGATATGGAATTTGAACCCAGGTATTTCTGCTTCCAAAGCCCATGCTCTTAATCATCACAAAATTAATGCCTGGCACATAGTAAGTGCCCAATAAATATTTGTTTAATGAAGGAATTTATACTACTGCCCGTTTCTGGAAGCCTTTCTCCCTCCATCTCTCCCCGTGCCTATCCTTCAAGGCCCAGCTCAAATGCAGCCTCATCCCAGCAATGTGCCCTCTCCCTGTTGCTATGGGGTGGGGGAAACAAGAGGAAATCAGTGCTGGGGTGGGGAAGTGCCGGGGCACTAAGATGGCACAGCTGGGTGCAGCTGGAGGGAGGACTCAGAGTTTTGCAGAGAGATTTTTCTCCTGAGTTTGTGCACTAGAGTTGAAGCTGCTACAAGGATTAGATACATCGGTGACAAAGTAACTCACCCTGGGCTCTAATTAGTCAGAACAGTGTATTCCAATCACTTGGCAACCACGTATGGGGAGGAGGATTGGAAGCCATTTCAGGACAGGGGACTGGGAGGAAAGTGAGACAAAATGTCTGTCCAGTAAATAGCACGTGCGCAGTGAGGGGGAGGGATTGGGAAGTGAGAAGAGCTCATTCTGAGTTAAGAATTACTGCTCCAAGGTCATTAAATCCCTGGGGATTTAGGGATTTGTAATTCTATGCTATATAATACCTTAAAACCAAGGATATTGGGATTCCAAGGATTTTAAATCCCTATAACCTATGGTATAAGGATTCGAGCAAGTTTTGAACGATGAAATGCTGGGAGCTTAGGACCCCAAACAAGGATGTTAAACAGAATACTGGACATTTTAAAGTACAAATTAATCCCCCTTTGACTTCAGATCAATCCGGGTTTAACCCTTGGGACAGTGGTTTCCAAGTTGTCTTTCTCACAGTCCCTGAAGGTACCTCACAGAAGTGGGTAGAGAGAGTTGGTTCAGGGCAGAGAGGTCACCAGGGTAGGAATTCTGGGCCCCCCATTGTGGCTTCCACCAGGGCGGCTCCATTTTTATTTGATTTATGTATTGGGCTTCTGCATTTAATTCAAAAGATGAGTTTTCTGGCCAAAGCACAAAAAAATAAGTTTTAAAATTTCTGTCCTAGGAAAAAAAGGACCTGAAACCTGTGAGCTACCATTTGAATGTAAAGAGTGGTCCAAGAAGCCACACTTGGCCTCTGTTTTTTGTTTTAATTTGTTTGGGTTTTTCGTTGTTGTTGTTGTTGTTGTTTGTTTTTAATGGGAACAGACAACACGAAGATGCTGTGACTGGTAAACCATCAAATGGTGCCAGGGAGATCAAGAGGGGATGACTGATGAATCAGTCATTAGTTGGGTAAATCAATCATTAGCTGACTCTAGCCTGTAAGCTCATTTCTTTTATAAAGTCAATAACAGCGGCTACTATGACTACTATTACTATGCCTACTGTTTATTGAGTGCTTTTATAGCATGCCAGGGGCTATGCTAAGTACTTTACATATATTAATTCATTGAATCGTCACAACCACCCTGACAGGAAGTATCATTATTATCCCCATTTTACGGATGCAGAGACTGAGGTTCAGAGTGGCTAAGTAACTTGCCCAAGGTCATACAGCTAGCACACGGTAAATTCCACTTTACTTACAAGCAGAAACAGCATGGACTAAAGGAATTAAAATAGTCAAAGGTCAACTGCCTGGCAGCCTTAATTAAGGAACAAGCTTACATTTTGACCAATAGATGGCACCAGTGCATGGGTTTGGTGGCCTACTCCAGGCTGTGTCCAATTCAGGGAAGTCCCAGGTAGGGCTCAGAACTGTGAGGCAGCCTCTCTCCAGTTGAGAGAGGAGGGAAAGAAAGATGGCCATCATTTTGCTTCTGAATAAGATAATGTTGCCCTGTCCCCTTTGTAGCTAAGCTGGGAAGCTGGCAAGTGGGGGAACAGCGGTAGTTCTACCGAGAGCTGCTTTAAGAAGACATGTGAATCTTTTCTCCTTCAGCATTTTCTGATCACCTCTTTAGTGCCAGGCAGGGTGCTGTGCGATGAAGTCATACGGGAATACCAAACGCAGCCCCATCTCCCTGCACAGGAAGGAAGCAGGTGCCATGGTAGGGGAGACACCGGCGGCATGGGGCCACCCAAGCCAGACTTGGGGAGCTGGGGAGGCTTCCCACAGGAGGGTGCCTGAGCTAGTTCTGTTGGATGCATGGGAGTTTACCAGGCATGCAAAAGTGGAAAGGCATTCCAGACAGAGGTTTAAAGCCATAGGAGTGTCAGAAATCATGCCACATTCAAGGATAGGCAGTGTAAGTTTCGAGTGTTGAGAGATGAGTGTGGCGACACGCAAAAAACAGATGATTGGAACGTTTAGGATATCAAGTTAAGGACTTGATTTATGAATACCCAGCAGTGTGTGTGTATATGCATGTATTTTTCTGGATAGAGAAGCCATAGATTCTCAAGGGGATCTGTGACAAAAAATAAAGTCCAGCTATTGGTGAGGCAAGGGTACGACATGGTCTGATCGGTGGTCAATGTGGAGGGTGAATTGCAAAGGGCATGCTGGGGACAAGAAAATTAGTTGGAGAGTAATTGGGGCAGGGTCAGCATGAGGGTCTGAGCTGTGGTGGGTACAAAGGGGATTGAGGAGACGAAATCGATAGGACTTAGCAGCCCCTCCCCACATGCACCGTCTCTGAGGCTCAAATGAGGCTGTACCTCTCACCTTCCCCCAACTCCCATCCCTATTCCCAACATTCAAGCTGCCCTTTGGTAGCCTTTTTGTTCCCTTTCCAAGCTGTCCTTGAAGTTTAATCAAGTCTGATTTCACGCGTTAATGGAGGGGACCTGGCCCCATGCTGGGTCCCCAGACCTACAACCCCATGGAGAAAAATCTGTCAACTGACCTCAGGTAGAGCAATGAATTGGCCTTGAGCTGGTTTCTGACCCTCTGCCCACAGCTTCACAACACGGGCAGAGTTCAGTTAGGAAATCAGCACAGTTCCAAGAAAAAGGCAAACATCCAGTTTATTTTTCCTCTGATTCATCTTATGCCAACACACAGACTTCAATGGACAGTAGGCAAAACAGGGGGTGGGACCCCAGAGTGGGCTGATTCTGCAGATGCCCCCTTCCCTTCCTGCAAGACCCATGAGAAAGTGACCCCAGCTTTTCTTGGCTCTGGTATTGGTATCTCTGGAGGTGAAGCCAGAAGTCGGGCTTTACATGGGGAGACGGGACCACATGGCCACCTGGGAAGGCTGCAGAGTCAAAAGGCCGTAAGGGGTGACTGCTTCCCCCTGCAAAGGCATGCCCCATCCTGCTCTGCTTCCTGGGTGCTTCAGAAACCAGGTCTTCCCTCTAGAGCTCCTAGGAGCCTCCCAGTGTCAACACAACAGCAGCCCAGACAATGAGATGCCAGAGGCCTGGGCTCACAGGCCAGTCAGGGTGAGCTGGGAAGCTTCAGGACCCAATTTTCAGTCCAGAAAGCTGTGCCCAGAGACTCCTGGCTGATTGATGCCCATGGAAACCTGCCAGGCATACTGTTGCTTCAGTTCGGACAGGGCAGGGGCAGGCAAAGGGGATGAGCTGTGGCCTTGTGTGGTGTGGACCCAGGTACCCTGGCACACCCTTCTGGCCCCTTTTCATCTGCCTCCTCTTCCTCCTCCTCTTCTTCCTCCTCGTCTTCGCTGTCTGAGTCCTCATACAGGTTGATGGTGGCCTGGACGGGGAAGTTCTGCAGTAAAATCTCCCCAGCACTGTACAAGTAGTCAAAGGAGCGGGATTTAGGCCAGAAGAGCCTGTGGACGAGAAGAAACATGGCCCTAACTTAGACAAGGCCTCATGTGTGCAGAGGGCCAGTAGGGCCAAGAACGAAGCCGGCCCCTCAACACCTTTTCTTAGCTACAGTAATGGGGTCAGAGGGAAAGAAAGGGCAAGCTTTGTAACAGAACCTTCTGAATTGTTACAAAATGGCCCCAGGCAGGAAGGTAATCCCTGGTGGGCCTATAGCTGTGGGGGGCCCCAGCCCCAGCATCTATCAATTCTGGCCCTGACACCCCCCCACCTACCAGCCCACTCCAGGAGGTTTCTAGCCAAGCATTCTTTAGCCCTGTTGTCCCCATATCCTTCTAAGGATTCCTTCACTGTCCCATGCACAGGGCCTCATTCTTGGGGGTCAAGACACTGCTTCCAGGGAAAGCAACCTTGGCCAAGTCCCTTAACCTCTCTTGGCTTCAGTTTTCTCCTCTGTGAAACAGCAATCACAGCAGTGCCTCCCTTCTGCACCACAAGACTGTTATGAGGATCCAAAGAGCTAATGGATTCATGTCAAATTTGGAGCTTGGTGCCAGAAGCTTACCTGACGGGGTGACAGAACTTGGAGTCAGCCTTGGTGACCTCCGCAGCTATTGCTCCACCATCCGCCTGTCCAAAGCAAAAGCTAGTATGTGGCTCAAAGAACATGGCCAGATCACCACCTCCTCCATACCAGAGGTCAGAAACCCACAGGTAAGATGATTTAGAAGATACCTGAGACATCTCTGGGGTCCACCTGCCCCCCAACACTCACCCCACAACAGGGGAGTCTCTCTTGGTTCTGTTTGAAAAACAAGTGGACAGAGTCCTGGGGGTTGTTTGCTTTCTGCCCCTGTTCCAACACCTGTTGGGAGGCTGGCCAGGGGACAGAGTTCTACTGGAGCAGCAAAGATTCAGGGAGGGGGTGGGAGAGCACCGGGGCAATGTGCCAGGAGACCGAGACTCGAGAAGCAGTGCCACACGCTGGCTGTGGGGCCCAAATCTCCTGCCCACTATGGGCCTTAACCTCTTCATCTTCCCAATTGCCACGGAAACCTCAGATGTGCCCTCCTCCCAGGGCTGTTGTGGGAGTTGAATGTTAGCAAAGCTATGAGGATGCTTTCCCAGATCTGCAGCCCTGGATTGAGGTCAGGGGCTCTCTGGGAGGGGACCTGGTCCGCGTGAATGCATGTGGCTGCATGCGCATGTGAATATGTGTCACCTGGGCTTGAACTCACCAAATCCACCAGCTTCCTCGTCTGCCTTGGAGGGTCATTTGTGGAGGACAGCCAGGGCCTCCAGTGACAAGCTCCTCTAGGACAAAGAGGAGAGAGATCAGTCCATGGAGGAAGGGACTGAAACGTGGGCTCCCCGAGATAATAAAAGAGGGCTCCCTAAAGCTTGGCTCAGGTCCCATCTGCTCCAGGAAGCCTTTCCCAAGGCCCCTGAGCCCAGGCCAGGACAGATGCCCCTCCTCTCGGGCTCGGCAATGTTATCCTTACTCTTATCACCCTGTTTTGTAATTGTCTGTTTACTTATCTTTGGGCTCCTTAAGCTCAAAGATACGTTTGATCCGTATCTGAATCCCTAACACCTAGCACAATAGCCCACACAGAAGCTGTTTCAGTCGATGTTTGTTGAAGGTTAAATGTTTGGAGGAGTGAATGGGAGTGAGGTAGAAAATATCTTGCCTCCTACCTGTGGCTCTAAGAAGTAGAGCTCAGAGGCCTACCATCTTCCCGGGCTGGGGAAAAGGGCCAGAAATATTCCTGGGCCTACTGTGTCCCCACTGGACTTGCAGGGGCAGGAAACGAGCAAATGGGAACCTGATGGTGTGGTCGGGGCTTTGGCCCTCTTTCCCCACGCCCCCACCTCTGCAGTCTAGGTCGCGTTAAACCCAGGTTCCATGGCAGTCTCCTTGTGTCCTTCAGTGGACTCATCAGCCTGGCCCATGAGGGGCTGGCTGTTTGGCCTTCAGCTTTGGCAATGCTTACTGTCCCCAAGTCCCCTCCTGCCACCTAGAGAGATCACTGAGGTGAAAAGCCAGTGAGACATTCCAGCCAGAAATGTAAAGGGAGGGCTATGAGGCCACTGCTTTTCCCCTTCACAGTGAAAAGGGGGCTCTGAAAGCCTCATGTCACTTCCTCTCCCAGGAATCCCTCAAGCTTCAATTCAGGCTACCGAAGACCAAGTTCCACTTACCTTTCACTCCCAATCACCTCTTGTCCAGAGGAGAGGAGGGGCGTTGGGCTGAATAGGCCAGGGAGTGCCAGAGGGGCTTGCGCGAGAGCTGGAGCCGGGGCCAGGGTCAGGGCTGGGCTGGCGGTAGCAGCGGTGTGAGTGGCAGAGTCCATCCTTAGGGTGCCAAGCCAGGCAGGCTGTGGGGTCTCCTATTTCCCAGAACCTTTCACACTCTTTTGGCCTTTTCTGGGAGACCCTTTTATAAGCCCTGGCTGGACTCATAAATTATTCAGGGAGTACAGGGGTGGGGGGACTTGGGAGGGGGATGAAGATGTAGGGAAGGGGATGGGGAGGGGAAGCTGGGTTCCTGGGTGTGAAATCTCTCCCAGTTGAATCAACAGGGTGTCAGTGGGAGGCGAGGGGTTTGCTTTACCTCCAAGTCAGAAAGAAAAACACAGAAGGGGCAAATTGCACACCATTTGTGTGAATTCCCCAGGCAGTAGCAAGGCCCAAGGCGGGAAGGAGGGGAGCTCATTAGCACCCAATGCAACAGAATTGTCAGGGACAGAGGGCCGGACGGACAGGCCTTTGGCAAAGCCAGTTCCCAGCAAGAAGAGACAGCTGACCCCACTAAGGAGAGTGAGGGACTCACATGTTATTTCAGTTCAAACCCCAGATAGCTTTGCGGGCTGGCCCTGATATAGGATGGCCACCATTAAGCATATCATCTGGGATAGGAAAAAAAAGGGGTTCTGGGTAGAGTAGGCCCAGTTGCTTGTGGGGTCAACCTCGAGTCTTCCTGCAGTGCTCCCCCACCCCTTACTGGTCAGTTCATTTGCAAAAGTGCCCTCTCCAGCCTCAGCAGGAAGTGGTCCAGCGGAGTGGAGCAGGCAGGATTTCGTAGGGTCTCCGGGTGACATTCCAAATCTCACAGTTCAGCTTCCAGCTCGGGAGCCAGGGTGCTGGGACAGGCAGAGTTCTGTCCGGCCACTAAGCTGCTGAAGGACCTTCCCCAGCCCCAGGCCTCAGTTTTCTCCCATGAGAGATGAGGTGCTGGCCCAGGGGTCCCAAAGGGCCCTGCCAGTCTGAACGCTCCCTGGTGGCGGCCGAGTAAATGGGTACTGACCCCAGGCAAGCCCAGAGGCTTGAGCACAGTCCTCGCCCTTAGCCAGCCTTCTGGGCCTTCGCCAAAAAGCTTCCAGTTACAACTACTGGCAGGTGTCTCACGCTTTAGAGGTCTCGAAACAGTTCCTCCTGACCTCAGTGTCCAGCACCAGCACCGATTTAGCTTCTTGGACATTCATCACAGCCTGGTTTGTAATCACCAAAAATTAGAAATAACCTCGATGTCCAATAATAGGAAATCAATGACATTAATTAATCCTTGCACCTGAATACTAAGCAAGTGCTCACGATCATCTTCTGGGAAGTCTAATTGTTAACACTGAAAGTGAAAAAATAAATCAGATGCTAAAATAGTAGGAGTAACTTAAAGGCTCCTCTTTTCTCAGTTCACCTAACCCCCAACCTCTGCCCCACTTTAAATTCCAGCCCCACTGTGTTCTTTGCAGCAAAGAAAAATTGCAAACGACCTAAATGTCTCACTTTCAAAAGCTGATTAAATAAATCATCGCGCAGCTACACAATTTCATATTAAATTTGGCATGGTAGGAGAATGAGGGAAAACTTAAGATATTGAAGAGCGAAAAAAAATAAGCCTCTAAAATATTACTTAGAGGATGATCCCATTTTGGTAAGAAAAAAAGTGTAGAATGTTCAGTATGCCAAGAAAAAAAGACTGGTGAGAAGAAAGAATGTTACAGTTGTCATTTCTGGGAGAAAGAATAGGGTGGATTTTTACTTCTTTATGCTTTTCAGAATCTTCTAAAAAGTTCCACAATGAACGGATATACATTTGAGTAATAAAAAGTAAAGATGCATAAAAGTAAGAAGGAATGAAGAAAGAAGTGCTTATCTGGGGAGGAGAGAAAACTCTGGGGGAAATGACAGCCACTTTCAAATATCTGAAGATTAGACTGCAATGAGATTATACTTGTTCTGCGTGACTTCAAAGGACAGGCCTGAGGCCCATGGCTGGAAGCTACAGGGAGACACATTTTGGCTCAATCAAAGGAAAACTTTCGAACAGCTCAGCCACCACCTAACCTAAGGGCCTGGCACCTCACCGGCCCTCAATAAACAGAGGTTTATTATATGAGGTGAATGAGTTCAGTGGAATGTGCTGCTTTGGACTGGGGCGAGCTCTCTGTCCCTGAATTTTGTAAGTACAGGCTGGATCTTGGATCCTAAAGAGGGAAATCTTGGCGGCAAAGGGAGGGTTGCTGGAGAGCCTGGGCTTCTATCGGCCTCTTAGAGTTCTTGCTAAATTTACCATCAGGAAATGAGAGTTGGCTTGTACTGCCTCACTGGCTAAAATGAGGAGTGCGGCCGGCCGAGAAAAGGAGCCACGCTGAAGACACTGGATTGGAAGCGGATGGCATGCAAAGGACAAAGCGCAAGACCTGTTGTCACATTCTAGGATCGTTTTGACCTCTAGGTGGCCTCTGAGAATAGGTAGGAGGGAGGAGGGAAAGGTCGAAGAGGCAGTCATTCCTCCTGAGCACCCGGCTCAGCTCAACCAGACTCAGGCCTGCCACCCATCATGCCACCTCCCAACTTGAAGTTGTGCTCCTTCAGTCACTCCCTGCACGATGGGAGCTGTCTAGTCCCTTCACTCCCCTGAGCAGCCGGCCGCAGGGTTCCCCTTGCACCCAGCTCCCGGCACAGTCCTGGAGCCCAGGGAGCCACCTTCCATCCTGTCTCCGTGGCTCTTTGTTCAATGCTCTGTCTTGCTCCCTCCTAATCATTGCCTCAGCCTCATTCAGCTTGTGGGGGACGAAGCCACTGGCCCTTCTTGTTGGCCTCTCCCCGGCCTGCAGGGGTTGCTGGGCAAGAGCTGCTGTTCTTCACGCTCAACATGGAACAGGAGTAAACTGGTCAGCAGGCAGCAGACAAGGTGCGGGCCAACCAAAATGGAGAGCTTCCGGTCAGGGCAGTTCAGATGTCACCTCTGTTTCCCCTGACAGCCCTAGAGTGCTTCTGGATTTGCCAGACCTTTCTGTGGGTGCCTCGACTGGGCCAGACACCCTGCTGGGCATCGCCTACAAGGGGATGGGCCGGGAAGGGGAAAGTGCTGTGGACCCTGCCTCGAGGCACTCACAGCCCAGTGAGGGAGACGAGACTCCCTCAACCTCAGCCGCGGCCGTCCCCTCAGCCATCCTTGAGCGTGTTCCCCTGTCAAGGCCCCAGCTCCAGCCTCCATATTATTTCTCTGGGCCACGTTCCAAACTTCCTTCAGCTCCCGACCATGCTCCCGCCCCACCCCTCTCCCTTAACGGAACAACCTCTCCTCCTACTTCCCTGAGAAAACAGAGGCCTTCAAGCGTGAATTACCTCAGTGCCCTGCCCCACCCCCCAAAAATTGGCCTCTCCAACTTCCTTCCCCTCCAGCCCTCCCTTCTCAGGGGACAAGATGCCCCTTTAGTTAAAGGCTAATCCCTTCTCCTGGGCCTTGAACTCATCCACCCTCCCTTTCTGGGCCCTTCCTCCAGACGTTCGTTACGCTTCTTCAGGGAAGTTCAGCTTCTCTCTACCCACTCTTTCTCTTCTGATTATAGAATCCCAGTCTCTGTCATCCCAAAAAACAAGCACCCTCCCTTCCCAGATGTGTTCTCTTGCTCCCCTAACTTGCTCTTTGCCTGATCTCTTTTTCTCTCCCCTCCCTCCTTCCTTCTCTCTTTTCTTTTCTTTTTCTTTTCCCTCAAATTTGCTGAAAATAGTCTACATGCTAGACTTCCACCTTTGCCGCCTTCCCATTTCACACTTCGACCAGCTGCAATTTGGCCCCAGCCCCATTAGCTCAGTAAAAGGGCACTGCCAAAGGTCACCAATGAACTCCTAATTGCCAAATTCGATGACCTCTTTGAACCCTGGGTGGCAAAAGACACTATTGGCCAAGTCCTCATTTCTGAAACGCTTCTTCCTCTTTCAGCCGCCATCGGCACTCTTTCCTGGCTTTCCTCCTGCCTCCGGAACCCTTCCTTATGGTTCCTTTTGCTGGCCTCTCTTCCTCTGTCCGTTCCTCAAGTCAGTGAGGAACGTTCCTCAAATTACAGTCCACAGATCAGGCTGATATGCAGGGATATTTTCAGTGGGTCCCAGCAAAATGAGAAAAACTGTGCTTGGAGAGTTTTTCCATAATCTAAATTTATTCAGTTATAAAGGACTGTCTTTCATTCTGAGATTATGCCCTTCCTGGGTTTTGGTAGTAAAATAGTCACTCTTTTTCAAAATGATGGTGAGAATGAATGTTAGTTTCTTTCCTTACTGTTCCTGCTTGGCAAAATACAATGTTAGTTTCTATGTGTCAGTCCCATAAATGTGTACTGGACGAATGAAACAACAAGAGTTGTGTTTCCTGATGAAATTTTCCTGATGGGTGTCTCAAACTCATTCCAAAACTGAACTGTTTTTCTCCCCTACACACCTGCTCTGTACCTACCTCGGTGACCAGCATCATAGTGACCCAGTTACTCAAGCTAAAAACACCAGCCACAGAGCCCTGTTGATTTTAATGTCCACCATTTCTCACTTTTGTCTCCTCCACGCTCCCTACTCTCCTTCTTATCTTCGATTCCGGCCTCATCTGTCCTCTCTCACCTACGTGCTGCAAACGGCTTCCTGATATGTCCCCTTGTCCTTGACTTAGCCTTTCCAACCCATTCTCCTCGCAGCTGCCCCAGTGAGCTTTCTAAAACACATAGCTGAGTGTGGTCTTCTGCTTACGAACTTCCAGTGCCTATAGGAAATACCCAAAATCTTTTGTGTGGCATTCAAAGCCCTTTTCTGTCTGAGCCCTGACTGTCTCTCCAGTCTCCTGCTTCCAAAGGCCCTCCACGGGCGTCCACTTCGAGCTCTCCATGCTTCTAGCTCCAGACTGTGGACAGGCCGTTCACGTGCAGTCTTTCCAGGGCCTGGGGCCTCTGAAGGTCTAATCCCACCCTGTGTGGGGTTTATCACAGAGGAGGGAAAATCAGGGTCACACTTGGAGCAGTGTTTTTCAAACTTTGGGTCACACACTACCAATGGCAGGGCTTAAAATCAGTTTTGTAGG